GGTCGAGTAGATGACCTGTACTGTTGACAATTGAATTGTATTGTTTAAGATCGTAAAAACTAATGAATTCTTCCAATCTGACCAGATTTGTCTGATTTCCATAATTGGGGTTGATTCTATTGTTGAAATGTGGTTGGTTGAAGTCACCCAATATCAATAGCTTATTATCATAGAGTAGCTCAAGGGTTTCCAGGGTTTCAAGTAGGTGTTGTACATGAATATTATTGGTATCGGGAATGTATATATTGAAAATATAGAAGAATTTATGGCTGATCACGATCTTACAACCTACAATGTCTATGGTCTTTGTGACTATAATAAATACAGATATCCTTATTGAGTTTCAATACCCCATCCTACAAAGAATCTTGAATCTTGTATGGAAAATTGCCGTTTTCAGCATAGCACAACGCTGGGTGATTTCTCATGTTGTTATTTCGTTCATAGGTGTGTTTCAGAAATGTTAGTGAAAAGGTAGAGTACCCACTACACGACCCCCTTTTTTTTGTCATGATATCTCTATAGTACGGCAAATGCGTAGTTCTGTGTCACAGAACGCACACACTACGTTGGTACTATAGGTGATGATTGATTCACAACAGCACCTATAGTACGGCCAATGCTTAGTCGTTGAAATTATATCACAGAACATTGTGTTGGTACTCTAGGTAATGATTTTTTCACAACAGATGGCAGCACCTATAGTACGGCCATTGAAATTATGCCACAGAACGCGAACACTGTGTTGGTACTGTGGGTGATGAATATTTCACAACAGATAGCAGCACTATAGTACGGCCAATGGTTAGTTCTGTGTCAGAACGTGAACACTGTGTTGGTACTGTGGGTGATGGATATTTCACAACAGATAGCAGCACTATAGTACGGCCATTGAAATTATGCCACAGAACGCGAACACTGTGTTGGTACTGTGGGTAATGATTGTTTCACAACAGATGGCTGCACCGTTCCTTATAGCCAAACAGCTACGTCTACATTTTGTGCGATCCTTTCTTTGATGGAGGGTTTGAATTTCGCGCCAACGACATAAATCGAGGATCCATATGATAACGCCAGCATTCTCATATTTAAACGAACCATTACACGAACATCGTTTGAATTTCCCGCCAAATCGCGAGGGCTCGGGATTTATTTCAAATAGAGGCTCCTGATTGGTCGACAGGCAGGCGGTGAGAGGTGGAGGGGGAGAGAGAAAAAAGTGGAGGGGGCGTCCCATACCGCCCGAGTACCTACTTAGGCAAGTGAAGATACTTCGACAACATCAGTCTGCACACTGTATCTCTGTATTCTTTCATCTCACATAGATACCTCTGAAGCATATATGTTCGCAACGATCATATAAGACGACATCATATAAGACGACATCGAAGCGGGTATAACGCACACAACAGGCAGAACAAGAAACTTCGTTTCCGACTATGTTTACACTGTAACTTAGCATTCCATCATCTGACATGCCTGAAGCTTTAGCAGATACGATCGCACTGACAAAATAGGACGAATTCCAAGGATATATAAAGGGAACAATAGGCAAGTGGAGATAATTCGACAACATCAGTCTGCACATTGTATCCCTCTATTCTATCATCTCACATGGATACCTTTGGAGCATGGTAGTTCGCAACGATCATATGAGTTGATATCGAATCGGGTATAACGCACACAACAGGCAGAACAAGAAACTCTGACTTCGACTATGTTCACTCTGTAACTTAGCATTCCAGCATCTAACGATCGCACTGACCATATGAGACGACTTTGAACGTTTTATAACGGGAACAATAGGCAAGTTAAGATACTTCGACAACATCAGTCTGCACACTGTATCTCTGTATTCTATCATCTCACATGGATACCTTTGGAGCATGGTAGTTCGCAACCATCATATGAGTTGACATCGAATCGGGTATAACGCACACAACAGGCAGAACAAGAAACATTGACTTCGACTATGTTTATTTTGTAACTTTGCATTCCAGCATCTGACGATCGCACTGACCATATAAGACGACTTCGAAGGACATATAACGAGAACAATAGGCAAGTGAAGATACTTCGACAACATCAGTTTGCATACCGTGTCTCTGTATTCTATCATCTTACATGGATACCTCTGGAGCATATGAGTTCGCAACTATCATATAAGACGACATCGAAGCGGCTATAACGCACACAACAAACAGAACGAGAAACTTCGACCCCGACTATGCTTACACTGTTACTCGGCATTCTAGCATCTGACATGCCTACAGCTATAGCAGATACGATCGCACTGAACATATAAGAAGACTTCGAGGGACATATAACGAGAACAATTGACGAGTGAAGATACTTTAACATCAGTCTACATACTGTATCTCTGTATTGTAACATCTCACAATCTCACATGAATACCTTTGTTGCATGGTAGTTTGCTACGATCATATGAGACGACATCATATCGGGTATAACGCACACAACAGACAGAACAAGAAACCTCGATTTCGACTATGTCTACACTGTAACTTTGCATTTTAGCATCTGACATGCATACAGTTATAGCAGATGCGATCGCACTGACCATATCAGACGACTTTGAAGAACTTATAACGAGAACTATAGGCAAATAAAGATATTTCGACAACATCAGTCCGCACACTGTATCTCTGTATTCTATCATCTGACATGGATATGTTTGGAGCATATCAGTTCGTAACGATAATTTGAGACGACATCAGAACGCGAATGACGCATGATACAGGGAGAACAAGAAACTTCGACTATGTATACACTGTGGCTCTGAATTCTATTATCTGACAAGCCTACAGTTGAAATAGATACGATCGCACTGACCATATAGAAAGACTTTGAAGGACATATAACGAGATCAATAGGCAAGTGAGGATACTTTGACAACATCAGTCTGCACACTGTTACTCTGTATTTTATCATCTCACATAGATACCTCTGAAGCATATCAGTTCGCATCGATCATATGAGTCGACATCAAAACGGGTATAACGCACACAACAGGCAGAACAAGAAACTTCGACTTCGACTATATTTACACTGTATTCTTGTATTCTAGCATGTGACATGCCTACAGTCATAGCAGATACGATCGCACTGACCATATAGGACGACTTCAGAGGACATATAACGAGAACAATAGGCATGTGAAGATACTTCGACAACATCTGTCTGCACACTGTATCTCTGTATTGTATCATCTCACTTAGATACCTCTGTAGCATATATGTTCGCAACGATCATTTAAGACGACATCGAAGCGGGTATAACGCACACAACAGGCATAACGAGAAACTTCGACTCCGACTATGTTTACACTGTAACTTCACATTCTAGAATCTGACATGCCTATAGCTAGGGTAGATACGATCGCACTGACCATATAAAATGACTTCGAAGGACATATAACGAGTATAATAGGCAAGTGAAGATACTTCGAGAACATCAGTCTGCACGCAGTATCTCTGTATTCTATCATCTCACATGGATTCCTTTGGAGCATATCAGTTCGCAACGATCATATGAGACGACATCAAAGCGGGTAAAACGCACACAACAGGCAGAACGAGAAACTACGACTTCGACTATGTTTACTTTGTCAGTTCCTTTCTGGCTTCCTTGAGGTCACTTCTGGCTTGGGCGCGCTGTTCTGCTGTGTATCTGGCGATGTTTCTTTGCAGCTGTCTCCTCATCCTCGTGCATTGGGTCCTCTTACCGTCTATCTCCACGTTCCACCAGTAGGGAAACTTTTTAACGTTTTCTTGCCCTCCCATCACGCAGCTGAAATACGACTCCGTGATTAGATGGATACTCGCATCGAATGTTCTGGCCGTAGCCGCATTCCATTGTATCAGGACTCGGTATGCTTCCCAGTCAACCATCTCCTTCGTCCTCTCCTTTGGTTTCGTATATCCTCTGACTGCCACTTCGAAAAAGATGTTCCGGTGGTCACTCAGATTCTCCTCTTCGGATACTCTCCAGTTCTGGATTTTCCTACCTATGCCACTGCTGGAGATCGTGAGATCGATGTAAGAGGTTCGATCACCTCGCGCAAACGTTGGTATATGACCCGTGTTATGGACTTGCAAGTTCGCGGCAGCCATTCCGTCCAGCAGGTACTCTCCTCTAGCGTCAGAGAATGGTGATCCCCATTGCACTGCCTTCGCATTGAAGTCCCCCACTACCAGGTATTCTCCTTCGTTGCCGCTGCAGAAATCCAGGATGTCATCAATTTTCCTCCTGAACTCCTCGATATCCACGTTTGGTGATATGTAGACCCCCACAAGTAGGAAGTTCTCCAGCTGCACTCCAATATATCTTCATCTTCATCAAAGATCTTCTCCACTTTGACCTTCCGGTTACCGAAGAAAATCACCACGTCCAACCTCTTGTCGCAGACCCATTTTCCTGTGCATTCCACTCTCCTCTTGTTTGGCTCTGAGACCACAAGAACATCTACTTCGCCCTTTGCTACCGCCGCGTGAGCAACATCGTGTGCTCCCCTGCTCCGCCCTAGGTTTGCCTGCAGTATTCTTATGTTCTTATCGTGCATTACCTTTATTTCGGCTCCTGCACTCTTCTATGATTTTCCTGTAGTGAGGACATCTTGTCTGGTCTGCTCGATGCCCCTTTTTCTTGCACTTCGTGCAAAAGGGCTCCTCCTTGCATTCTTTAGCCTTGTGCCCTGTTTCCCCGCATTGCAAACATGCGTCCTTCCTATCCTCTCCCTTGCATTCATGCGATCGATGACCAAAGTCGAGGCATCTATAGCATCTGGTAACTGCTATTCTTTCTCTCACCCTACAACTGATCCAACCTATTTTTACCGCGCCCTTCCTAGTCAGAACGTTTGCTCCTAGTCTCGGTACCTCTATCGTCGCCGTTTGGCTTCCATACTGACCAGGTCTCATCGACTTGACCAGGATGCTCTGGACGTCTTCTCCTACTTCTTTTGCTACTGCTTCCATCACTTCGTCTGGTGTAGTAGCCGCATCGATCCCTGCGATGAATAGCATGGTGCCATTTGTCCTCGCCTTCACTACGGCTGTCTGCAGTTTTCCTGCAATCTCCTCGCGTAAGGCTTCCGCCATACCCTTTCCTCCTTCTACTGTGAGCACCAGGTCCCCTTTCTGTGATCTTCGGACCTTGGAAATGCTCACTCCAATGTTCTCTATGTTCACTCCGTCCTTGACTGAGCGGAGCAGTTCTGCATAGGTCTTACCTTCTGCCTTCACCGTTACGGTCTCTACTGGCTTCCGGCTCCTCTGTCGGTCGAAGGTGCGCCTTCTTTCAGTATCCGGGGTGCAAATAGCGGCTGTTATCTCCGTTTCGTGTAGAACGCATTCTAGCATCTTTCTGGCACTATCCCTGTTCAATCCCTCTCGGAGGGCTACATATATTTGCGATCGCTTCTCCGCAACTAGGATTTCTTTGAGGCTCACAAACAGGTTGTAAAGCCTCTCTAGGCTTTCCTCTCCAGTTGATTCCCCAATGTGCGGTAACAGGTATACGTATCCCGTTTTCACGTTATCCTCTCCTCTGCTCGTGAATGTCTTAGTGGCCCTCATTAAATATTTGATGGTACCTTCCTTCAGGGTGCTGAGCATCTCACGTGCCTCTGGAAACTTTCCGTGCATCACCTTCATAACCCCCTTCTCTCCTTTGTCCTCTGGGTCGATAACGAGCGCCGTGTCCATCCTGTTTATGCAAGCCCCCGGATCGCTATGCTCCACTCTGGTAGCCGTGAATGTTTCATCCGACCACTCCTTGTCTATGAGCTCCAAGACCGCCTCGAAACCCTCCACTCCGTCCAGAGTTACCAATTCAGCTTCACGAGTCTGCGTGCTTATCTCCCTAGTTCCTGGCCACGATTCGTGAGTCTGCGTGCCTATCTCCCTCATCTGCACCACCACCTGCGGTTCTGTGCAAGCCGTTTCGTCCCTCTGCATGGCTGCACAATGATCTGCCTTCCATTCCTCGTGCCTCCTAGCAAAATTCTTGATAATGTAGCTAAGATCCTCGATAGTCTGTTTAATACCCTTCTGGGTATTAGGATTGCTTCCCAGTAGCTTGGTTAGCTGTTCGCTGTTCTTCTTCAGTTTCCCAATATATTCACTCAGCTCTTTATTGTTGGCCTCTACGATTTTAGCTTCCGCCGTCATTGAAGGAGTCCCCTGTCTCTTCCGTTTATACCTTCTCACGACGAATTCTTCGTCGCCCTCCAGCACCACTCCTTTTCCCTCGGATTCTTGCGCATTCCCGCTCAGCTCGAGCACGCTGCTCCCAAAAGTGTCTTCCAGCCAGTAGGGGCTGCTTCTGCCGGTTACTGTACCTTTTGGGGTACCAAACACCTCTCCCGATGCCTCTCCCGAGCTCTCACTCATGGTTCTCACTGGTGAGCGCCTCAATGACTCCCTTCTCCCAAAGATCGCCCCTTGCTCTGCTTTGGTATCCGCCGTTTGCTTGAACATGATCGCGTTTAAGCTTTCTTTCCTCTGATCTACTTTTCCTTCTTTTTTATTTGGATTTGGTTTCGACATTTTATTCCCACGAGTAGCTAGGGTTTTGCTCGGTCCGCTCCTGCAGAGCCCCGCTTGCAGGAGTAAGGCATCTTCCCCCGCCGGGTTGCCTGGTCCGGCGGGCATCGCTCGCGACACACTATCTCATCCCTGTGCCATGCACCCCGTCGGCGCGATGGAGCTACACCTTAGGGTTGGGAGACGCGGTAGCCAAAGAGTTGGCCAAGAGGAGAGGAGCACAGCCGCCTCCCCTGTGTCCGTGAGAAGAGATTTTGAGATTTGCCAAGAAAGGCGGAAAGAGGAAGAAATATAGGTGTGAGAAATTTGCCAAGATAGGCGAAGGAGTGAAGAATGAAGGTGAAAGGAACCTCGCCCAAGACCGGTTGAAGCAAGGAGAGGTTCAGCTAGGATTTCCAGGAGTCGCCGCCTCCTACACTCATAATAATGAGCCCTTGCAGAGTTTGTTTATCGAGGTTGACTCCTCTAGATCCGTAGTGTTTTGTTAGAGACAGGCCGACCTCGAGTAGGGTGTACTCTAGTGGAGCACGCACTACGGTCTTGCTAGCGCAGAGGCTTTATTTTGCGCATATCGCTAGCCTGGGTGAAGCCCTCCGACCCTCAATTCTAGCATCTGACATGCCTATAGTTGAAACAGATACGATCTCACTGACCATAAGGATAGACTGTGAAGGACATATTACGACATTCATAGGCAAGTGAGGATACTTCGACAACATCAGTCTGCACAATGTATCTTTGTATTCTATCATCTCACATGGATACTTCCGAAGCATATCATATCGCAACGATCATATAAGACGACATCGAAGCGGTTATAACTCACAAAATAGGCAGAAAAAGAAACTCTGACTTCGAATATGTTCACACTGTAACTTCACATTCTAGAATCTGACATGCCTACAGCTATAGTAGATACGATCGCACTGACCATATAAGATGACTTCGAAGGACATATAACGAGTACAATAGGCAAGTGGAGATACTTCGACAACATCAGTCTGCACACTGTATCTCTGTATTCTATCATCTCACATAGATACCTCTGGAGCATATAAGTTCGCAACGATCATATGAGACGACATCAAAGCGGTTAAAACGCACACAACAGGCAGAACGAGAAACTACGACTTCGACTATGTTTACTTTGTCACTTTGCATTCTAGCATCTGAAATGCCCATTCAAGGAGTATATATGGCAGCTCATTATATGCGAGTGGAACTTTTTCATATCTACTGAAAACTTCGAATCCAACAATCAAGAGTCGGTAAACCGGCGTGTTCGCCAAAACTTCGAATTTATCAATCTTGATAATAAGACGGTTATACATCTTATAGGTAGACATTGTCTAGTGTTTCCTGAATCAAAATAACGCTCACAACAGGAAGAACAAGACTCTTCGACTTCGACTATGTTCACACCGTAACTTCGCATTCTAGCATCTCTGTATTCTTTCATCTCACATAGATACCTCTGAAGCATATGTGTTCGCAACGATCACATAAGACGACATCATATAAGACGACATCGAAGCGGGTATAACGCACACAACAGGCAGATCAAGTAACTTCGACTCCGACTATGTTTACACTGTAACTCCGCATTCTCGCATCTGACATGCCTACAACAATAGCAGGTACGATCGCACTGACCATATAAGACGACTTCGAAGAACATATAACGAGAACAATTGGCGAGTGGAAATACTTTGACAACATCAATCTGCACACTGTATCTCTGTATTCTATCAACTCACATGGATACCTTTAGAGCATGGTAGTTCGCAACGATCATATGAGACGACATCAAATCGGGTATAACGCACACAACAGACAGAACAAGAAACAACGACTTCGACTATATTTACACTGTAACTTTGTATTCTAGCATGTGACATGCCTACAGTTATAGCAGATACGATCGCACTGACCATATTGGACGACTTCAGAGGACATATAACGAAAACAATAGGCAAGTGAAGATACTTCGACAACATCAGTCTGCACACTGTATCTCTGTATTGTATCATCTCACATAGATACCTCTGTAGCATATATGTTCGCAACGATCATATAAGACGACTTCGAAGCATGTATAACGCTCACAACAGGCAGAACAAGAAACTTCGACTCCGACTATGTTTACACTGTAACTTAGCATTCCAGAATCTGACATGCTTGAAGCTATAGCAGATACGATCGCTCTGACCAAATAAGCCGACTTCGAAGGACATATAACGAGAACAACAGGCAAGTGGAGATAGTTTGACAACATAAGTCTGCACACTGATATCTGTATTGGATCATCTCACTTAGATACCTCTGTAGCATATATGTTCGCAACGATCATATAAGACGACATCGAAGCGGGTATAACGCACACAACAGGCATAACGAGAAACTTCGACCACAACTATCTAGCAAGGACATATAACGAGTACAATAGGCAAGTGAAGATACTTCGACAACATCAGTCTGCACACTGAATATCTGTATTCTATCATCTCACATGGATACCTTAGGAGCATTGTAGTTCGCAACGATCACATGAGTTGACATCGAATGTATAACGCACACAACAGGCAGAACAAGAAACTTTGACTTCGACTATGTTCACACTGTAACTCTGCATTGTAGCATCTCACATGCCTACAGTTATAGCAGATACGATCGCAATGACTATATGAGACGACTCTGAAGGACTTATAACGAGAACAATATGCAAGTGAAGATACGTCGACGACATCATCCCGCACACTGTATCTCTGTATTCTATCATCTCACATGGATACCTTTGGAGTATATCGGTTCGCAACGATTATTTGAGACGACACCAAAACGGGTATAATGCACACAGAACAAGAAACTTCGACTCCGACAATGTTCACACTGTAACTCCGCATTCTAGCATCTCACGGCAAACTACAGTTATAACGATCGCAATGACCATATAAGACGACTTTGAAGGACATATAACGAGATTGATAGGCAAGTGAGGATACTTCGACAACATCAGTCTGCACACTATATCTCTGTATTTTATCATCTCACATGAATACCTCTGGAGCATATCAGTTCGCATCGATTATATGAGACGACATCAAAACGGGTATAACGCACACGACAGGCAGAACAAGAAACGTCGACTTCGACTATGTTTACTCTGTAACTTTGCATTCTTGCATCTGACATGCCTTCAGTTATAGCGAATACGATCGCACTGACCTTATAGAAAGACTTTGAAAGACCCATGATGATAACAAAAAGCGAGTGAAGATACTTCGAAACCTTCAGTCAGCACACTGTATCTCTGTATTCTATCATCTTACATGGATACCTTTGGAGCATATCAGTCCGCAACGATCATATGAGATGACATCGAAGCGCGTATATCGCTCACGACAGGCAGAACAAGGAACTTCGACTCCGACTATGTTTACACTGTAACTTTGGATTCTAGCATCTGACATGCCTACAATAATAGCAGATACGATCGCACTGACCAAATGAGACGACTTCGAATGACATATAACGGAAACAATAGGCAAGTGAGGATACTTCGACAACATCAGTCTGCACACTATATCTCTTTATTTTATCATCTCACATAGATACCTCTGGAGCATATCAGTTCACATCGATCATATGAGACGACATCAAAACGGGTATAACGCACACAACAGGCAGAACAAGAAACTTCGACTTCGACTATGTTTACACTGTAACTTTGCATTCTAGCATCTGACATGCCTACAATTATAGCAGATACGATCGCACTGACCAAATAGGACGACTTCGAAGGACATATAACGAGAACAATAGGCATGTGAGGATACTTCGACAAACATCAGTCTGCACACTATATCTCTGTATATTATCATCTGACATAGATACCCCTGGAGCATATCTGTTCGCAACGATCATATAAGACGACATCTAAGCAGGTATGATGCACACAACAGACATGCCTCCAGTTTCAGCGAATACGATCGCACTGACCTTATGAGACAACTTTGAAGGACTCATGATGAGAACAAAAGGTAAGTGAAGATACTTCGGAAACTTCAGTCCGCACACTGTATCTCTGTATTCTATCATCTCACATGGATACCTTTTGAGCATATCAGTTCGCAACGAAGCGCCTATATCGCACACGACAGGCAGAACAAGGATCTTCGACTCCGACTATGTTAACATTGTAACTCCGCATACTAGCATCTGACATGCCTACAGATATAGCAGATACGATCGCACTGACCATATAAGACGACTCCGAAGGACACATAACGAGAACATCAGGCAAGTGGAGATACATCGACAACATCAGTCTGCACACTGTTACTCTGTATTTCATCATCTCACATGGATACCTTCGGAGCATATCAGTTCGCAACGCTCCTATTAGATGACATCGAAGCGAGGATAACGCACATAACAGGCAGAATAAGAAACTTTGACCCCGACTATGCTCACACTGTTACTCCGCATTCTAGCATCTGACATGCCTACAGCTATAGCAGATACGATCGCACTGACCATAAAAGACGACTTCGAGGGACATATAACGAGAACAATTGACAAGTGAAGATACTTCGACATCAGTCTGCACACTGTATCTCTGTATCCCATCATCCCACATGGATACCTTTGAAGCATATCAGTTCGCAATAATCCGATAAGACGACATCGAAGCGGGGATGACGCACACAACAGGCAGAACAAGAAACTCCGACTTCGACTATGTTTACACTGTAACTTAGCATTCCAGCGTATGACATGCTTGAAGGTATAGCAGATACGATCGCACTGACCATATAAGACGACTTCGAAGGACATATAACGAGAAC